TTTTTTACTTTTTGGCAATGGAAACAAATTTTATAACTAATTGTAGAAAAAAATATCACTTTAATGGACAATTTCCATGTAAAACAAAGCCAAACGAATAAAAAATTTAAAAATTTTCCAGGTGGAAAATTATACCAATCAAACACACTTGAAATCATTTTCCCTGCAAAACATTTTCTAGGCAAATCTTTTCCCTGTAAAACATTTTCTTTCCACCCATTTTCCACCCTTACAATCAAACGCACCCTTAGTTGAATTGAAATTCCCACCCTCTAGATGGGAATTGAAATTTCATTTTTTTGGCAATAAAAACAAATTTTATCCCCAATTATTAAAAAAAATTATCTATTTAATTGACAATTTTCATGTAAAACAAAGCCAAACGAACGCAATTTTTGGCAATCCAAATAAATTATATCCCTAATTGTAAGAAATTATATCCTTTAATTGACAATTTTCATGAAAAACAAAGTCAAACGAACACCAAAAGATAGAAAATTTCAACATTTTCGAAGTGGAAAATTATACCAATCAAACACAATTAATTGACAATTCCCAGTAAAACAAATTTTAGACAATTCAATTTCCTACAATTCTTTTTCTCTCCACCCATCTTTGAATCAAACGGACCCTTAAGAATAAAGCTTTTGTAAACAGTGCTTATCCATTAGCAGTCCATGTGCCCGTGCCTCAATGCCATATTCTCCAGTATATTGAAATTGATCACAGTTAAATTAATGTCACATAGACTACTAATGATTACTTATGAGTAACCTCCACTCACGTCTCTCTCTATTTGTGTAGTTAAATTGTTAGATTTTTCTTGAATTAAGTTGGTGTATTGCTCGAATCCTTTGCCCAGACCTCAGTTATCATTTGATGCTATTTACTAAAGTGTCGATCTCTTTTAATACTTAATTCATTTGTATCATTTATCAAGAGAGTCATTTCATTGTACAAGGATACGTAATATTGAGGTCCCGTAAATCTCAATATTGTATAAAGATTAGTGCTTTTTGTTTATAAGTCACCGAAAGCGTTGTAAAGGATTGAATTGCACCATAAGTCAATCAGTATAGTGAAAAAGCCTTACTTGTGCCGGAAAACTTGGTAACGGATGACGTAGATTTTTACTTTGGATCTAACTTCGACAATTATATTGTTTATATCCTCTCTTCCTTTATATTTATCGTTTTCATATTTGCGCATATTATTTGAATTAATTTGTTGAATTGAGATTAATTTTTTGAAAAAGTTCTAAAAACAAATTCACCCCCTTTTGAATATGAGTTTCAATCTTTTCCCACCATAAAACTAGGAATGATATGGAAATAACTTGCTCGTGTTGAATTGAATAAAATTTGGTAATAACAAAGTGTACAATTTCTTTATATTTATAGGAAAAATTATTCCCTAATTTTACTAATAATAGGAGATTGAATTATAGTTCTAATCTTAAAACAAAGAAGAAAAAGATAAAAAGTATTATAACGATAAAAGATAACTAGAAAAGATAAAGCAAAATTGAAGTAGGAAACTAATCATGATCACGTGCTTAATCAAGTAGGGTCATATGTTAAAATCGATTCAATTCTAGTCGAGAAAGATTATCGAACAAATTAGAAATATTGATTATCAAATTAAAAAGGAGGATTCTGAATCCTAGTTACCAATTTGAGTTTTTCTCCAAACTTTGTTAATCACTTTTAATTTATTTATTAGGTCTTTCTTTGGTTCTCATTATTTTCAAAATACATATTTCTCTTTCTTATTTTCAACCACATATTTTTTAATAAAATAATATTATACAAATTAAAATTTTTATTTTTATTTTTTAATCAGACATTCTTCATCAAAATACCATTTCAAAATGCATTTTGGACAAAAAAAAATAGGGCTCAAAACAGATTCTAGATATTTAGAAACAATAGTTAAGAAGCACCAAAATCAATGAGGTGGTGTCTTTGTCTAGTTAAATACACAATCTATATGTGAACAATACTCTAAGTCATCACTTTAATATGTGTCCACTATAAGTCTATAATGTGCACTTGTACATCGCAACAAGTTCTCTACAATGTTTTGGGGATTGTGTTACATATATTGTTGTTGTGGTTGTTAATATTATTATTATTATTATTATCCTTGTTATACTTCATTACTTCCTTGGTATTTTTCAGGTACTGTGTTTAGTAGATGTGTCAAACAAAAAGCCTTGACTTCGCTGAATTCGACCTACAAACTGAGCGGACACTACTAAGGGAACACAAAAAAGCAAAAGAATAGCAACAATTTTGCGAGATAGATGAAGATCTACTCATTGGAGAATTTATGACACCACCTATTGTTCAGCGCCAATCCATTATTGTAAATCCGGATTATGGCAACCGGACTTTAAGCTGAGACCGGATCCACTCAAACTCTCTCATAAGAGTTTTTTGTGTTTTGGGCATTCAATTGAGAATCAAATACATCCATATTTCTCGCTTTTTGGAGACTTATTTGAGTTAGAAAATATTGATATTTCATTTTTCTTTTCATAAATTGTAGTCCAATTTTGTGTATATTTCGTTTATTAGAAGAAACTCAATTATTAGACATGAAATTAGAATAAATGAGCGAAAAAGGACAAAGTCCAAAGTTTGAAGACCAAATTTCAAATATTCAATAGTTGATTCGGGCCAGAAAACGATAATTGAAAATTGTTATGAGTCAATTGGATGCAACCAGAAGTCAAAAATGAATGAAATATGATCAAAATATTTTCATAAATCAATTTCCAATCATGCAAGTCATTCCAGGTTTTCAGTCGAAAATTTAAACCCACTTTTGTCATAGTAAACATTTGAGTTGAAAATATTCAACAATTGGCAAAGTTGCAGCAGTTAGCTTTTCAATACACTTTGAATCATTACAATCGAATATCAGAAGAGAAAGTTATGATAAAAATACTGACATTTGTGTAGAGACAAACTTTTTGCTATTGAAGGTAACTTTCTTTATTCAATTAAAACTGTTTTGAAAACTAATTTGGATGTGATTTTCAACCAAGTTTCGACTCTTATAAATACCTAACAGTAGAATACATTAGGGGAACCTCTCAAAAACCTCTCGTATACCTAAATTCATCAATTAATATCATCAAAGAGATGCCAATCCGTTGTTCTCGTGAGAATTAAAGGGCAATTATAAGTTTTCAAGAAATTAGAGTTTCAATCTTGATTTTTAGAGAGACAACAAGAATATATATTGGAAATTCATCAAGAAATCATTGAAGAAATTCAAGATTTCAAAATCAATCTTCTTCTTCTTTTTCATCAATTCAAAATCCGGGTTATATTCTTCCAATTAAACGTGTTTTCTTGTTATCTTGTAATGCTAGGCTAGATTTTCTATTACTAAGACATTGACCAACCCCTATTATGATGTTTTAATATAAATTTGATAATTTGATGCCCAGTGTGTGTTTATTCTTAAATGATTGTGGTAGGATTGAATAACTTTTTAATTACTTGATTTGGATTGATTGTGAATTTTATTGATTTTGAGAGGAAAAATAGGATATATAGCACTTTATAACAATTATTGTAAAGCCCGTTTGGAGATCGAGATGTACAGTTATACTTTGCACAATTTTTGTAGATATTCTACCATTTTTAATGTACGCTTTTATGTTTGCATATTTCATAGAGATATATGAATGTCACTTTATTACTTATTCGCGATACTGTAAACTGGCGGGAAATCAAACAATCATCAAGCTAATAACTTTAAATAAGTGCTTAATGAGAGAACTTATTATGTATCCCTTTTATTTATTTCGTTTGTGTTATTAGCTTTTAGGTGGTTATTTTATTTTGTTTTATTTTTCTGTTGTATGATACTATGGGATCACTGCCATATTGCTCAATATCCAAAAGTGAATTCAAAATTTATTGAATAATTTGGCAGTGACCCCATTGCAACATAGGTTACGATAATATAATTTCTAGATAAATAGCATTACTTTATTCCCCGTTATAAACATCTACATCTGGAATAGAAAGATTCCGTTGGTCCATAATAAAAGGTCACTGATGATATCACTCATTTAAACGCCTTTATCTTATTGGGATATTTTATAATATATATAAATGGGATAATTGTAGCAAAAGTTTCAAACCTTTGAAACATTAGCAAACTTTCTCCAAACCTTTGATTTGTTGCAGCCATCACCCCTAACATTTCCAATCATTGCATGTGAGGCTCTTTTGGATGGTTTCCATTCATTTTTTCGTCAGTTGACCCAAAAATTAAGTTTGACCATATTTTTAATCAAATAAAAGGGGGTAAAATGGTAAATATCTATTAAAATGATTAAAATTGTTATTGACCCTGAATGATAATTTCAACCAGATGCTTGAAATTTAACAAATTTTATATCCTTTTGTTAAATCCACCTCTGCCTCAGCGGCTGGATAATACACCTCTGCTAAATCCATCAGATCATTCCTCTCATTCTCTATCTCCTCCAACATCTCTTTCTTTTCCTCAAGTTTTCGCTTCTTCTGCTCGTGTTGCAGTATATTATAAACAGAAACACCATCATTTTGCTTCATATCCAAATTTATAAAAAGTATTATATTGTTCATCAAACACAAATGGCTCAATAGCAGCATTCTCAACAAATCCAAGCTTATGATTTCGGAGGCCTTGCACAAGCCCATCCTTGGCGTAAGGATGGGTCGGGCCAATGACGGGGGTCCAAGTTGGTCATACGTGGGGTTGAACGAAACAACATACTCGGTCGGATTTAAGGGTTTTTGAGCCTCAGATTGTACCTTGCCAGCGACAGTAAAAGACAGCATAGTGTCATTGACTCTCGGAGCAGCGGATTTGGAAGGGAAGGAGATCCAAATAGGAGAGGAATCTGGAGACGGGTCTTGGTCTGATGTTTCAGGTTGGAGCTCCGATTTGGGTTCAACTTCATCTTCCTCTTTATCCATGTCTGGGTCTATGGACGATTGCAGCAAATCCATTAGATTGATGAAATTTGTTAAATGTTTTCTTTGAGTTAAATGAAATTTGTTGAATTTCAAGAATTTGGCTGCAATTATCATTCAGGGGTCATATAACAATTTTAATTATTTTAATAGATATTTACTATTTTGCCCCTTTTAATTGATTAAAAATATGGTCAAACTTAATTTTTGGGTCAACTGACGGAAAAATGGATGGAAACCATCCAAAAGGGCCTCACATGCAATAATTGGAAATGTTAGGGGTG